TCAACTGGCTTCAAATCCTGCAAAAACCCTGCCATGGGCTTAGTAGCCCCATACCCTCTTCAGCTAGAAGTAAAACCTCTGGAGCCAGGATATATCCACTCCAGCTCTTCACTCTTCCTTCATCTTCTGAGGCAGAGGAGGAATTGGGCCTATCAAAGATTGCTTTCCCCCACCCCTCCAGGTCAATTCCCCCAGGCCCTGAAGACCAAAGACTACCCTGACCTCAGGGTGAAGCTGTTAACAGCTCGGTGCCTCCAAAGTCAACCCACAATTTTGGCCTAAGAGAAATCAGGCAGCTAGTCAGGTAAGACATTTTGGCTGTGAGCCTATACCGAGCCCAGAGCTCTCTGCTCTCAATTTGTGCAAGTTAAAGATGATTCAATTGAGAGGCAGCCAAGAAAAGAGGGGCAATTGCCCAAAGCGACCCAACCTCCTTGGCTGGCAGTCCCTCCTCACCTGAGATAGGAAGGGTACTCAAGTCAGTCAGACTGTGTCTTTGCTGACCTGAAAGCTGAGCAGTGTAATCAGAGATAAATACATCAGTCCCACTGCTCCCAGGGGCTTTTGCCCAGCAGTGCTGCCACACGACGCTGGCCCAAGGCCTGACTTGCTTCAAGGGCAGGGAGGGGCCTGAGAAGAGTCCAGAATAGCCAGAGTGGTAGCATCACCTGGGATTTTGGGCAAAGCACCTCCTCCGGGAAGCCAACCCAGACTAGTGTGCCACAGAGAATGTGCCTTCCAAAAACTCCTGGGGTAGTCTCTTCCACAGGTGTCAGCATTCCAGCCAGACTAAAGCCCTCCCTGACATGCACCTCTGCTACAAGGGCATACTGGGGCCTACAGATTCCAGGTCCCTGAGAGTCTGGCTGATTGTAGAGGGTTCAGGAGCTAGGATAATGACCCTATGGGCTTGAGTAAGATGAGCCCCAGCCCTGCCACTAACCAGTTCTGTGACTCTGGGCAAAAGAGTTGGCCTCCCTGGGGCAGCATGTCTCATATCTCCTGTAGAAATCCTGGAGTTCCTATGAGGATAGAAGCTGAGTGCCTCTAGCTGTCTTAAACATCTGCCTTCAGGCAGAGGCTACTACAAGCCCCCCGGGCCGAGGCTCAGATCAAGCCCAGAAACCCAGCCCAGGGAAGGAACTGGCCCTACCTCCAGACCAGGGCAGGGCAAGTGGGAAGAACACACCCGGTACAGAGGACAGGGCATCAGACCAAAAGATGTCAGCACATGCAAGGTTAGAAGCTAGTGTCACCTGATTTCGGAGCAGGTTAGTTTGAGCTACGAGATGAGCCTGCAGTTTGCCTTGGCACCACTGGGGGGCAGCTTTCTCAAGCAGCGAAACAGGCTGAGAGGAGGTCAAGGCAAAGGAAGGTAGAGACAGGAGGGAGATGGGGAGAGAGAAACAGACACAGATATTAAACATGAAGTCCAAACATCCTAATGCATTGACAGACAAGCAAGACACCTCCCTGTGAAGTGGTCAAGGAAGTTGAGAGAATTAATGGACACCCACAGGGGGTAGTGAGAAGAAGGCATGGTGAACTTCAACTACAAAGGCAAAATGTGAGAACCATTAGCAGGGGACAGGAGCTTAGCAAGCATGGTCCAGCCCCAGGGTGAGCTGGGGTAGTTCCAGCTGATACCCATGACAGAATTCCACTCAGACCATACCAGGGAGAGACCCAACCCAGGCCTGTGCTCATTCTGGAAAGTGGCCTCAGAGTGAGTAGAGGGGACAGAGAGGCTGGAGACGCCAGCACCACCCCAGCTTCCCATGTTTACATTGGCACCTCCAAGGCTAGGTGACCTTAGATTAGTAACCCCATCTCTGTCAATGGGACTGATGATTCCTGCAGGCTAACGGCCCAGAGAGCAGGAGAATCAGATGTACAAATGGAGCAGGTGAGTGGAGCATGGAAAGGGAAATTGGACAACCCGCCCTCAACCCTACTCCCAGGATTCCACTCTGTCCCTGTCTGGCCCTCCACCTTACCTTGGCAATTTTGGCTTCATCCTTCTTTTTAGCAGTTTGAAGGGACTCAAAATGGTGCCGGGCACTGTCGTAGTCCACTAGCTTCCGCCCCCTCTTAGCAATGCGTGACTGGGGGTACAGACAGAGTGGGAGGCTGAACAAGTACTGGCACCCATGCTGAGCCCAGACTAGGCCCAGAGAAACTGGGTGAAACCAGGGAGCCCAGAGCAGTAGGGCCCAGTGGCTTGAAAACCCCTTTTGACATGTGTGCAGTACAAGCCCAGACACACATCACATAATCAGTCATTCCGCAACAACACCATATGCACACATACACTGCACACACACACACACACACACACCATGGGGGTCTCCTCCCACAGGTCTGAGACCCAAAGAAAATAGACCTGAAACTCCCAGTGCAGGAAGGCCCAGGTCTGAGGAATCAGAGATAGGAGAGATGGTCTCTAGGAGCAATGAAATGCAGCCCAGAAGAGGTACCTGCCTTAGTTCCTGGCCCACTCTTGAGCTGCATCCCTCAGTCCTTCTCTCCCTCTCCAGCTCCCTTAATACCAGCTGCGGGACAGAAACAGAGTGGCTGCAAAAAGGGGCCTCTCACCTTGATGTCAGGGAACTGGCCCAAGTAAGTGTCCATAGTCAGCAGTGCCTGGTCCACCAGCTTCTGGTGGTAATCCATCCAGAGAAGGTCATTATTCTGAAAGAGCCAAGAGCAGTGAGCATGGCCCCCTAGGGCCTAGAAGCAGAGGAATTAAGACATGCGGTCAGCCCCAGCCATCATTTTATAATTGTAGCTTCTCAGAGCTTGTTTCCTCCTCTATAAAATAGGGTAACAATTCTTGTCTCAGGAGCTCCCACAGGTGACTATGAGCATCAGATAAGCCCAGGTCTGATGGACTTTCAAGTCACGAGACACAACATATAGACAACGGATTATCATAGCATGCTACATCCTCCAATTAATTCTCACAACAACCCAGATGAGTGTCAAGGTCTTCAGTGATTTGCAAAGTTGGCAGCAGGGAGAGAAAATGCTAGAAAGAATTCTGAGATGGGGCAGGGGCTGTTGTTCACACTCACCTCAGCGATCTTATTTGCCTCATCCCTACCAGGCCAGTCGGGCTCGTACACCTCCTGCAGACACTCGTTCAGCTTCTTAGAGGCCTCATGCATGGCTGTGGGCAAAGAGGCCACAATGCAGTCACAGCTGTAGGGGACCAGAATACAGAGCCTCCACCCACCCTACCCTCAGAGGCCTGAGAGGTTTGCAACCCTTGTCTGTCCAGTACAGACCTGACTCTACTGTGTCTTTTCAGCCTTGCAGCCTTCAGGTCTGAGATGGGTAGGACCCTCAGGTCTGCTCCAAAGCCCCATCTGTCCCTTACCTTTGACGGAGGCCAGGTAGGTACGGAGATCCTTCTGTAGTCGAGTGCCCTCAGTCTGCAAAAATAAAGAAGAGGACACAGTCAGGTTGGAGTGCTCACTACTCCAGTCCAAACCCTGTCTTTCCTGCTACTCCCTTAGATACATGCCTAGGCTGCTCCTCCAAGAATTCTGTTAGTTGGGTATCCTCAAGGCACACTCATAAGATCACGGGGGGATCAGAAATATGAGCTGTGTGAAAGTACCAGGTTGAACTTAGCACTGGTACCTAAAGGATGCAGCTCACTTGTCATCAAACATTAGTCCAACTCTGCTCTTGACAAAGAGCAGAGTTCAGCAGACAAGTACCATCATCTCTGCCCAGGGAACCTTGCTCCTGAGTTTACTCATTCATTGTGGTTCTGCAAGAAGATGTTACCTTCCTGCTGATCCAGACTGGATGCTTCCACGTTGCAGCAGAGAGGTTGTGTGGGAGAATTTAATGTCGACACATAAAGAAGTTGCTTAATAACATTTTTTAAAAAAAGATAAGAAGAGGGTGTGGAGAACCCCCTCTAACAGAAATTCCTTAAGTCTCCCTAATAGAAATCCCTTAAATCTCATACAGAGTGAAGTATACAACCATGTTGTTGTTGTTATGTGCCGTGGAGTCAATTCCGACTCATAGCGACCCTGTACAGGGTTTCCAAGGCTGTAAATCTTTATGGGAGCAGAAAGCCTCATCTTTCTCCCGTGGTATAGCTGGTAGTTTCGAACTGCTGACCTTAAGGTTCGCAGTCCGATTAATAATCGCTATGCTACCAGAGCTCCTTATACAACCATGGGCATACATAATTCTTATGAACATCCAAGTCTGAGGTCTGTTGATCTAAGCAAAAATGAGATACCGCTCACTCCCACTAGAATGGTGTTGATAAAAAAAGGGAAAACAAGGTGTTGGAGAGGCTGTGGAGAAATTGAAACCCTCATCCACTGCTTATATCAATGTAAATTCACAGTTGAAGACACCTTTGCAGTTTTTCAAAAGTTGAATACAGAAATGACATGCCACAGCAATTCCAACCTTAGGTATACACCCTGAAGTGAAAGCAGGAACACAAATAAAGACCTGCACACTAATATTCATTGCAACACTTGTCACAATAGCCAAAAGGTAGAAACAATATAAATGTCCATCAACAAATGAGTGGAGAAGCAAAATAATGAACATACTTAACAATAGAATATCACTCTGCCATAAAGAAAAATGAAACCTGAAATATGCCACAACATGGATGAACTTTGAAAATACCATGCTGAATAAAATAAGTCAGTCAAAAAAGGACAAATACTATGCAATCTCACTTATATGAAATAAGCAAATATAGAAACCAAAGATTTTCAGTAGTTACCAGGAGTTGGGGTGAGGAAAGGGAGAAAGAGCCTTTGCTCAGGGGCATTAAGGTACGTTAACAATGGTAAAATGATTGGGAAAAGTATAGTGAGAAAGCTTGCACAAATTAAAGAATGTAATCAATGTCACTGAAATGTGTATGTAGAAATTGTTAAATTCACATATATCTGGCTGTGTATATTTTCACCAAAAACTCTAAAAAATAAAAAGATACAAGGAAGAAATAAAAGAACAACCCACAAAATTCAGACGTCTCAGAAAACCCATCAGGAAAGCTAGTGTAGAACTTGCAGGGAGAGGGAATGAGAAAAGTATATCCCACTCTTGACATAGCCACAGGACAATTAAAAGTTTTGATGGTTGAGGTGAAGATTAAAGAATCCCTGATGTGATGTTACTGCATTCATCTGATGTTATGGAATCTGCTATACCCAGCTTCATCATCTCAGCCAGGCAGGCATTCTCCATCTCCTTTCCCTCCCCCACCTCCACTCCATATCATTATTGCGCTACACCCCAATGAGGGATCCCATGGTGTGCGTGGCCACATTCACGTGGTCTCAGGCCGTACCAAGGCTTCTTGTGCCTCCCAGACAAGGCTGTGCTGTAAGCAAGCCCAAAGGCACAGATGTACAGGGCCAAGCAAGAGCCCTGACTCCCTGCCACATTCAAGCTCAGCCCTCCCTGCCAGTACTATTCCTTACCCTATCCAGCTGCCTCTAGATGGTTAGGTGTGTGAAGTCTGAGAAATAACTCGGGAAGTTCCACAGGGTTCTAATCATGCTCCTTGGAGAACCAACTGGGAGCAGGATAAGATTCCAAAGCCATTGCCCAGTTTGGCCAGCTCTCCCAGCTCTGGCACTGAGGAATTCGTAGATCAAGACCAGCCCAGGACCAATACCTAATACATCCACCACAATGGGAATGGACTCAGCCAGCACCCTGCTCTAACTGTGCTACCTGCAAAAGGCCCTGTCCATTTCCCTCCTTAGCATCAGCCTCAGACCTAGAGAACCAGGACCCCAGCAGGTTGTTACCAGCAGGTCTCCTCCTACATGGACAATATTCTGGCTTCAACTCTGACTTCTGCCCCTCTGCAATCAATGTCATGACATGTCTACCTAATACCCACTGGCACCCATTTTTAGCAAATACTACTTTGGGTGAGGAGCTCTGGTAGTGTAGTGGTTACAAATTGGGCTGTGAACCTTAAGGTCAGCATTTCGAAACTACTAGCTGTTCCATGGGAGAAAGATGAGGCTTTCTGCTCCCGTAAAGATTTATAGCCTTGGAAACCCTATACAGGGTCACTATGAGTCGGAACTGTCTCCACAGCATATAACCACCACCACCACCACTTTGGGGGAAGCCTGGGGACAAGAAGGGAAGGAGACTTGCCTTGACCCAGGGACAGACAAGCAGCTATAATGAGCCTGGGGTAGCTAAAGCCTCAGCAGCCTCCAGAGGAAAGGGTTTGGCCAGTTTGGGAGGGCACTAGAGTACTACACCAAGAGAGCCTGAGCTGTGTCAGGAGCCTCCAAGGATGCAAGCAGGCTAGCTACCCAGGTTTTCTCAGCACAAGATAGAGGGCAAGTGCTACCTGTGATCAGTGTTGAGTGAGCCCAGAAAGGGCTGTGGCTAGGTAACTGGGCTCTGTGAAGACTAGCAACAGAAGGTTGTACCTATACCAACTCCTAGGACCAGCCCCATGGGAAGAGGTGAGAGATCCAATCCTTGGAGATGAAATTCCTGCCCCTGACTAGTGCAGGGCCCACCATTCTCAGTGTTCAAAGGTATGGATGCAGGAGGAAGATTAGCTTCCAAAGCATCCCATGTCCCATGCCAAACCAGTGTGCCTTTTCCAGGTTTTTTGCAGGCTGGCTGAAGCCATGCCCACTAAAGCTTCCTGAATTGACTCTATCAAGATCAAGACACTCACACATTTCCCAATCCCAACAAATACCCCAGGCCCCAGTCATTTCCACACACCATCACAACCAGAGTTACCCACAGGAGGGGCACCTTAGGGGAGGAGTATCCTAAAGCCTCAAGTGAGACCTCAGAGCCATATACCTTCACTACCATCCTTGGCTCATGAAAAGTCAACCAGTCAATCTAATCTGGAGGCATAGTCCCAGTTCAAGAGCCAACTCTGTGTCCACAGTTAGTCAGAGACACCTGGAAACCAGCAGCATTGGTTATTTTTTGCCTAGACTCCTCTGACGAAGGATAATCAGTGATGACTCCCTTCCAGAGCCACAGAGAAGCAAGAGGCAAAGATTCAGTGGATAAGGCTGAGGGACAAGCAGGAAAGAGCCACTGCTCTTGGTTCAGGCCACAGGAAGCCTCATATCAAACAGCCAGCTACTCTGGTGAGGTTACCTCACTACCACAAGGTCTAGCACCCTGATATCTGGAGGGTTAGGTCTCTCTCCAGCCCTCAGGACTGGGGGAAAAGTTCCAGAGAGGGAACTTGAGAAAGGACAGATCTGGATTTAAATCCCAACCCCCCAAACCAGCTATGTGGTCTTCGAAGAGTTATTTAACCTCTCTGAGTCACAAGTTTCTAGTCTGTAAAAGGAATATCATATCAGCACCCACCTCAAGTACTACAAGGATCATGTCTGTGAAATGTACAGTAGTTCCTGGTCCAATGTGGGTACACAAGTAATGCCAATACCCTAAAAGGTCCTCAGAGCAGCTTTCAGCCAAAGGACAATA